CTGCAGAACTGAAATGTTCTATTTCTTTACTATTTTTATTGCTGTTGCACTAAATTTGAGGATTTTTTAATTTACTAAACTACTCACCATTGTCTACGTACACTGTATGGGAATTTGTATTACATGTGAAGCTTGTGAGCAATGTTAACTTTAAACACTTTTCATCCATACTATCACATTCCTCAATCAAAAACAAGGAAAAAGAAGAGTCTACCCCATGACCTGAAGGCTGACAGATTGGTACTAGCAAACCATGATTGAAATACATTTTAGAATTGAGACACTTCTGCTGAAAGACAATAATATTGAGGCACTGCCAGCTGAATTATTTCCTATATGAGGCTGAGTCAGTTGAGGTCAAACTGGGTATTTTTCAGGTAGCAAGGACACAAATCAAAAGATAGATTTTTGAATGTAGCCAATACTATAAATTGAACCTGGAAACAAAGAACAATAGGGGAGTTGGAAGCACATTTTGAATGGAGGAGGGGGAATGGAGAGAAAGCAATTACCATGGTTCCTATTTGCCCGCAGCCCAATCCTGGGTACTGTTCCAGACCATCTGGGTGATGCCTTCACCTCTGCCTGCCCATAGATACACACAATTACTGCCTCCCCACAAGTTGAGGCAGGCCCGGTCCCCAGCCATTCCTTGGAGGGTGATGGCGATGAGGGGGGCTAGCCAGAACCTGATTTCTTGTGGGCTAAGAGTCAATCAAAGAGGGGAGAGAGCAACTGGAGCTAAATGGCATAGAGCAAAATCAGAGGGGAAGCAGAGTGGAGAAGAGACAGAAACATAGATAATTCTCTGCCACCAATACTTTTATTGTGGGAACTGCTGTGATAATTGGGCCTACAAATTTGCCTTAATTCAGAACTCAATATAAAAAGTATAGGAGAGTTCAGAAGATGTCATAACTTATAAAATGGTGGCCAAAAACAATCAGTTCATTTCACTAGTTACATATACCACCTCATTTTAATAAATCAGTAAGTTTTAAATGCAAAATATGTCTTATAAGAAAAAATGTTTGTATGTAGCACATTTAAATAGTTTTATTTTTAAATCATGTTTTTGTCCATTTTAATTTAATCTGAATACTTATTCAAATAGAGGATGACAAATCACAAGTAAAAAATGTATTTCTTATTAATTAGTAAATAAGAAATACATCATTCACTATTTTCCAACAGAATAAAAAAGTGAACATTATGAATCTGAAAAAAGCAAGCTAAGCTATACAACTGCTTAACTAAATGTGCACAGATATATCTTCATCCTTAGCAAAAAACAGCAACAAATTTAGTGAAAAGGCTCTCTTTATAGTTCTAAATCAATTTGTTTTAATAGTTACCAACCAATAAGAACATTCTTTTCCACTTTCATATTGCTAAGGCTTTCATTTTCCAAATGACACCCAAAAGCAATACATATCCTATATTTAATCAAATATGTACTCTTAACACAAAACCTCAACAGTGACTTCATGTGCTTTCATATCAACAGATAAAAACATCTGACTGCCACACATTCTATGCTTATGGGAAATTATTTTGCCTTACTCTAATGAGGTTAATGTTTAGGTTTTGCATTAAAGTGCCAGTTTGAAGCCTAGGCACTTACTTTTATGCAAGTGTGCTGCCAAAACCAGGTACTGAACAGATGATCTCCAAAACTAAAAGCATGCTTGTATTAAAGAGCCAGGCTCTCAAAACTGCCTCAGACTTGCATCTACAAATCTACATATACACAGATGGAATGGGTGACATAAGAAAAATGTGTAACAAATTACTGACATGTGAAATGTATGTATTGGCAATTCATGTCACAGCATATAAATCAGTTTTCAAAGCATAAAAAGTAGTCACAGGAATACCAGATTCTGTCATTGGTTTGGGGAGAACTGTGGTGTATAGTGGTCAAAAATAGGATTATGAAAACTGGTTTAGTCACTCTGAAGAGCAGTGCATAAGACTGGGTTTTACCAGGTTGGAGACCTAAGTTCTATGCCTGCAATGACTTTGCATAAAGCCTGCTAACCTGAAAGGGAGAGGTAAGAACAAGAATGTTCAGAAATTCTTCCCTATCTCCCAGGCTGGGGTTCATATTTTCAATCAATAATAAGGGAATTTTAAACAGCAGTTAGCAAAGATGAGATCTGAACTCCTGAACTTTCATTTCCATGGATGTGACTGGCATGTTAGGGCACCCCTAAATCAGACAGTCATCGTGGGAAAGGAAAACAAGAAAAGCACATGAGGCTTCGGTGCAATTTTGATAAAACTCAGATGCACACATTACATAAGCGAGCTATAGTCACATTCAGAAATGTAGCTTCTTAAAACCCCTTTGTACTTTTTTTACTACAGTTAGCTTTGCACAGGCAACAGAGTCATGGAAGCGTGAGCTGGAGTCTATTTTAGCTTATCTATCTTCAAAATTATCAGCTAACTTTGAGTTGTAGAAATTTCATCTCATTGGAACACTCAACTACTACAGGTTGAACCTCTAGTCTAGCACCCTCAGGATCTGACCAGTGCCAAACAGAGAAATTGCCTCACTATGGAGGTCAATATTGTCTAACAGCAATGCTAACACTTCCACTGCTTACTGGGCTCTTAAAACATTTTAGTGGTAAATTAGAACTAAACAACAGCGAAGAACACAGAGTCAGGACTGGTGGCTCTAAACAAACCTTCTGGGACCACAGGAAACTTGGCTACACTTGTAAGTAGACATCCAGCTAAGTAAAATCATGCTGGACCTGATAAACAGTAAGAGCTAGGACTACCAAGACTGGTATGCAGCTTCCTCTTATCTTAACTTAAAGCAAAGTCATGGTTTGGTTGTACCAGGAATTCAACTGCTTCTCATAAAATGGAAGAGGAGGAAAGTCTGGCTGGAGGAACTATTATACTGTGGAATAAAAGGACAAATCAAATTTCAGAACAGAAGGGGATGGGGGGGGGGGGGGGGGGGGAAATTGTGTGTGTGTGTGGCTCACACACACACACACTTTCCCCACCCAGGGAGCACCGCTGAGAGGACTGTGGAGACTCCACCCTGCCCCCAGGCTGGGGAAGCACCAGGCCTGCGTGCCCCCCCATCCCAGGGGAAAGTTGGCAGCATGGGTGCATGGCAATGCTGGGTAAGTCTTCTAGTACAAATAAAAGGGAAAAACATGAAGAAAGAAAAATATAAGCCAAAATATATAAGTATTTTCCTACTAGCTATAGAAAGTGAGAAAATGGCAAAAGAAGTAGACAAGTTAGACTTAAGATGAGACATGAAAAAAAGACATTATTAAGATAAATACACAGAACAAGTGAACTAAAAGAGGAAGGTGACAGGGAGAATGTAGACTGGAGAAGGGGAGACAGGAGAGTAAGTTAACAATCAAAATTAAGGTTAGCATAGAGTAAATCCATGGAATACTTTAAAAGTTAGACATCTAACCCAGCTTTCCATTGACTTCAGTGGGAGTTAGTTCAAGCCCTAAAAAGTTTTCAACTACAAAGAAAACGGATACACTCACCCCAACTCTGTCATTCCATCTATAAATTCCTTTTTACTGAATTCACATTGAGTGGCTGCCCTGAACTTCCATGCTATGACCAAGACGCTGATACTGGCAGGATCCAGGCTTAAATCATCACAAAACTGTTGAATTCCATCAATGCCAATTTTATTTTCATCCTGTGGGTCTACAGTAAAAAAATAAAAAAAATAGATTATACTATATACATTAAAAACCCTACTACAGACCAATGACCTGAACAGTTTTGATATGCTGCAGTGCAGAAGTTATTGCAGGAGTACTTCTCAAATCTATTTATTCTTAATTAGGACATCAAATTTAGTCTATTTTAAAAAGTAAGTTAACAGTATTGTCTTCCAAAGACCCCATGCCAATTTTTGTGGGCTTTTTATTCTTCTTAAAACAATGACTATCCCTTAGATATTTTTCCCTTCTCCCCGTTGCTATGTGAAAGACCCACAAAAACAACAGGTGGAACTGTCTTAACTAAGGAGGAAATAAAAACGCACAAGTAGATAAGGCATTTACTAGTTCGAACACTGCAACAGGTGAAAGAGAATCACCAAATGTGGCATACAGATTATTTTTCCTGGTAGTGAGATCTGAGAAGGGAGCCTGAAAGTCAGATTGTTTTGGGGCTTTTTTATACTTGCAGAGTAAGCAAATCAATGGGACACAATATTATTTCCTTATTGCCTAGCACAACAGGCCTCAACTTGGATGAGGCCATTCAGCACCACTGTGACATACATAACTGTTTAATAATAAGTGGTTACGAGCTAGGATAGAACCAAATGTTGTAACTGCCAGTGTCAGTTTATGTCACAAACATATGTATAAACATTTAAATATGGAAAACGAAGTCTAACAAAAATACTAACAAAACCTAAAATAAATCCTTCATGGAAACTGTACTGGATTTTCAATTAATCTGACCCCAAGAAGCAGTTACTATACAAGCATGACAGCTATTTTTCCTTGTTACAAAAAACTAATAGAGTATAATGCAGGATTGTCTTAAAAATGTATTATGGTTACATACACATAAGCAGTATCCTCAAAGTTACCCTTCTACTCTATACTGTAATGTATAGTCTGTACTAAATACATAGAACTGTTTGTCCAAAATTTAGATGTAACAAGTTATAAGTCTTTCTTTAATTACAATAGCTTACTATATCACAGCTACAGTACTATATTTTTATTAAAGTTAGGGATGTCAACATGTAGTTGACTACATGATTAACCAATAAGCCTGGACTTATCGGTTAATCCTGTCACCTACATGCAATTCCCCCCTTGCTGCCTCTGGGGAGGCGAGAGCCGGTGCCGGTGAGGATCTCATGGAGCCACCTCCCTTCCCCCTGTGCTGCTGCCTCTGATAGAGAGGTAGCAGTGTGGAGCGTGAGGGGGGTCATGTGGGAGCCGGTACACACAGCAAGCTGGCTTTCATCCTGGCTCCCACCATGCATCAGCTCTCGCAGAACCACCTGCCCCCCCCTTGCTGCCTCCCACAGAGGAAGCATAGGGTGGGGGAGAGTAGGCAGGAGCCAGTGCTCAGGGGAGCTGGCTCAAAAACCAGCTCTCCACGAGCACTGCCTCCTCCCTATTCCCCCCCTGCATTGCTGCCTCTATCAGAGGCAGCAGTACGGAGGGTGAGGTAATAGGGAAGGCTGCCTCTCTCTGCAGTGGGCCCAGGCTCGTTGCAGATGGAGGCTGCCCCGTAAATGCTAGCACAGTCTCTGTCCGCGGAGAGCTCAGGTTCCCTGCTGACAAAGGCTGGTGCTGCAGAGCTCCCCACACAGACCAGCTCTCGCCTGTTGCCCCACTCTGTATCAGAGGCAGCAGTGGAAGGTGGCAGAGGAATCCTGGGGAGTGGGGCTGGGAGCGCACTAGCTGCCAGCCCATCCCTAGGGTCTACTGAATAGTTATTAACCACTAACTTTTGATGTAACTACACAATCATTCAATTACACGGTATCTAACATTCCTAATTATAATGCAACTGAAAAATTATTTAAAGTTTGATATTTTGGACAGCTAATTTGTATAGACTTCAACTTTCAATCCTTTCTTTGACCTTTCTTCTGCAATCTGATCATATTGCAGGATCTGGGCCTTAAAATGCAGCTATATTTTAAAATGAGTAGTCCGGTGGCACCTTAGAGACTAACAAATACATACAGTAAAACCTGTGTTATCTGGCACGCTCGGGGATTAGGGCGTTCTGGAATGATCTAAAAATTCCAGTTATCTGAGGGACCCATCAACCTAGGAAAAACCAATGGACAATAATAGTAAAACTCAAATTTTTAATATTGGTAGTTTTGTAGCAGGAGGGAGTTGGTCTCACATTTCTGTTTTGAGTTAAAGATTATTAGTACTTCTTAAATAAAAAATTGTTAAGCCAATCATGGTAAACAGAGCCAGGCCTGAGCACCTGAAGATGTGACCGTATTGTGGCTGGGGGCAATGCTGGATAACAAAGTTTTGTGGTTAACAGAGTGCCGGATAACAAAGGTTTCATTGTGTATAGTATCATGAGCTTTCATGGGCTCATGATACTATATATACACATTTTTGTTAGTCTCTAAGTTGCTACAAGATTACTCATTTTTAAAGTTACAAACTAATACTTCTACCCCTCTGAGAACTGTATTTTAGTATCACTTTAGTTTTTCAGAGGTTTCTGAATTCCTAAAGATTAAAAGCAGCCAATAATCAAATAAGGACTTGATGCAGCAAACAAGTACCACTTGCTTATTTTTCTCCCAGATGTAATTCCATTGAAACTGATGGAATTGAGCACTGGAGGAAAGACTAAAGCTATTTAGTGTATTGCACGGATCAAACTCCAAGAGAATATTTTGATTTGTTAAGTTTTTAAGTTCTTAAAATATTTGCAGTGAAACTGTCTCTCCAGTGAAGTCAGCGGCAACACTCTAATTGGCTTCAAAGTAGACAAGATTCCACTCTCAGTGTTATTATTCACAATATCTGGATAACTGATGGAATAATAAAAATGAACATACATAGATATGATTTTGATGTTAATAATTAAATAAGCAAAAAACATTTCAGAAAGGATAGCACAGTTGGATAACAAAGACGTGTCATCTCACATTTCAAACATGTTATAATCACAAACCCTTTTTAAGGGCTTATAAAGGTATCCACCCTGGATAGGCAGCTAAAGTACAAAGTTTAGTTTCCAGTTAGTAAAAAAAAAAAGTTTAAAAAAATCTAATATGAATAGAAGAGCTTTCTCATGATTAATTTTTCTTTGAAAATGTGTTTAGATTTACATTTGCCCTTACAGCATTTTCAGTCTTGATGCTACAATACTGTGCTGACACATAAAATCAGCAAAACTGATTAGCCTATTTACATTCACCAAAGTGAAATAAAGTAAACAGCACAGATAATGAAAGCTAAATAACACTCTTTAAATTCCTGCAGTATTAAAGTATTGGTAATTGTTCAGAATTTAAATATATTTATTTTAACCTCAGAGTATTTTAAAATTGACAAACAATTAATAATAAAAGTAAAACTAAACCAGACAAGTGGTTTAAGTAAACGTCTACAAATACACACACAAGAAATTTTCTATTTTGCCTGAATCTTTGTGTTTTTCCTACAACTCAACACAACCATATGTTTTTTAAATGAAATTTTGAAGCTCATCTGTGTGTAATATGGTACAAGTCTTGATGATGTTTCAGACTAGCGGAGTTGTTAATATGACAGACACTAATGTATATACAAAGCAATTCTGGCGAGAAGCATAACCATATAGTATGTTTAGAGAGGATTCAGACTAGACAAAAATCTGGTCTAATATCCATTTAAAAAGGTCTAGAGGACGATTTAGATTTAAGCAATAGATAGTAATGATTCGGAGCTGCTTCATTCTATTTAATAAACATTTACATGCATTAATATAAAATATTAACATTTCAAAAGGAGCTCTTACACTGGATCACGTCAATTCTTACACTTCCATGGCCATTTTTTTCCCTTTTATTTTTCCTCTTCGTTTAAACACTACCGTAAAATAAAAAAGAAATGGAAAATAAAACACAACTCCACCTTTAATTCACTTCCTTGTGAGTATGTTTTTCCTAGCATATCTAAACAACAGGTCATCTGACATTATTTATGATGTAATATTCAAGCACAAAGGGTAAATTAAGGATGGAGTTTCAACTTTAATTCTCAGTTTCCTTGCTTGATAGTCATCAGGCCCTCTCTTATAACTGAAAGTGTTCTTATGGCTTAAAATAAAAGATTACCCCCTTTCATCTGAACTATACTTAAGCATTTAACACTGAAGTTACAGACATAATTTTACCATGCAAAGTAACATCACATAACAAAATTCCTTAACAGTCTTTCACGAATAAGAGATCAAATACAATGCATAATATGTTTTTACAAAGCCATGATCATGTCCATAAATAACTGGTTTTAGTCCATTTTTTCTAATATCACATGCAATCCTTCCTATTTTTAAGGTGCTTTACCCTTTAGAAAACAAATTTCTGGACTTCTGTGGTTAACATTATAAGACATGCAAGAAGGAAAAAAGAGAGCCTTCCAGTGAACCTATTATTACAGCAACATATAGACAATTAAAAGTAGTACATTGCATTAGCAGTCTTAGAAGATGTTATCAGTGGCAAAAATGTAAAGCAGAAATGTATTTCAAATGACATAGATAAAAAATGATCCTTACCTTTGTACCTGTAATACAATTGCTCTAATTTCTTTCTGTCTACTGAATTTTTCATGGATTCTTTGTAGTACAAGTCTGGGTTCTGGAAGTAGTTGTCTGTTGCCACTTCTAGTTTCCACTCATTCTGCATTAAGCAATATATAGCAGTCCTTTCACCAGCCTGGGTAAATGCCATAAACTGGCGGACCTTGTCCTTCTGAGACGATTTAAGCTTATGCTTTGGGATGCAAAAGAAGCAGGAAAGCCAATGAAGCTAATCCAGAAGTTTGTTTCAGCATTCTATTACTAATGCCTATCTTTTAAAAGGGTTTAGTTTTCTTGGAGTGTGACAACTTTCACTTCAGAATTAAAGGAAGCCAAAGCCTTGCTCTTCTGCAGTTAAATAGACAGCACTTCTGGAAATTGAAATAACAGCATCTATATGTACATTTTAACAGCATATATTCTGGTAACAATAAATTCAAATGTGTGTTCCTACTCAGGTGCAAAAATTGTTTGATACTTCCCATTAAATTCAGAATTATTTGGTTAAAAACTCTTTAAAATACTACTGTTATGACAATTGGGTCTATTTGCTGAAAATAATTTTACTTTTAATGATAAAATAAGTTTCAAAGGCACAAATCATACAAAAATGAAAGTCAGTAAATAAAGGCCTTTAGAAATATCTGAATTGTTTAACAGTTGGCTTAATTTTTTTCACAATTTCTAGTGCTACTGAACAATAATGTTTTCTGGGTAATTATTTAAGTTAGTTAAAGTTACAAAACACTTCTCAATTTTAATACTGGGAACTGTGTTTAACACTGTCATTTTCAGAAAAAGTGATCTTGAAAACAAAACTAATAAAGCAGCCAAGCAAGAGATTCAGTCAATATTATGAGTTTACAAAAGGTTTGTGAATCTAATCAAAGCTTTAATATGTTCTGAGAAGAGGTGTTTATATTAACGTAACTGATTACTTTGTTATTCAGTAGAATAAAGTTTGATAGGAACCATGAAATGTTTTTCTCAATGGCAATGAGTTACTGCAAACCATAGCTCTATAACATCTCAGAGAATTTCTGGAGAATACAGGAGTGGGGAAAAGAGATTTTAAATAGAGAAAAAAAATCTGCTACCAATATATTTTACCATTATTGTCTGCATAAAATAGCTTATTAAAAATCAAACTGTGGGTTTCAAGACATCTCTTTTATTTATCATAGGTAGTACAAGTTATATTTCTGGGTAGATAAGTAAGTTATCTGGGTAAACACTTCAAAATTTACTCACCCTGTATTTAAGCCAACATCAGAAGCACTGATTTGCTGATACCTGATTATTAGAACAAGCTTTTATAATGTATTCTACTGCACAGCACTCTGTTCAATGTGACACTACAGTCTAAATATAGATACATCTTCTACTCCACCCTTATCTTTTTTACACACTCTAGATACAGTCATATTAAAAGATTATTACAGATGGTCACATAAGACAAGAAGTGCATCATGTGCACAAATTACAGCCTTCAGTCTTTTCTTTCTTCCTTTCATTAAGTTATTTTCTAAATACTGAAAAAATACAGAATATCCATAAAATGAGAACATCCTTAATTATAGCCAGAGATAACTGCAATTGATTTTGCTAATGTTAAATGATCTTAGGTGTTTCACTACAAGAGATAGTGTACATCTATTTATACTTTGAAAAATCCTAAATTTTCCTGGAAGTGGAAATATATTAAATCTTTCTACAATAAAATCTTGAACATTTAAACAAGAGTCTAAGTTACAATTAATTTAGTGTTGGGTCACTTCATAATAGGAATCTGTGATAAAAACCATGATAACTAAAACTTTTTAGAGACAATGTGGGTGAGGTAATATCTTTTCTTGGAGCAACTTCTGGTGGTGAAAGATACAAGCTTTCACCACCATAAGTTGGTCCAAGAAAAGATATTACTTCAGCTACCTTGTGTGTCTAATATCCTGGGACAACATGGGTGCAACACAGCAAATTAAAAGTTTCATCTTTTTATTTTATAGCTAGATATGAGTGTATATGTATAAATAGAATGGTCTACAAACTTCAAGTAACCTATGTCTCTTTTCTGCTCCAAAAGAACAGAGGTGGAAAATATTCAATTAATCTTTCTGCCAATGCATAATTGTTCTCCAAAATACAATCAAGTCTTATTTCAATTATGTACATGAACAATTCTTTATTTAAAAATAAAAGATGTATAGAAATATTTTTCTAGCATGTCTTCTTTCTTAATGACTGCAAAATAGTGTGTATATTTTGCAATAAGACATAATGGGGTGACATTATGTACTCTGACATGAAAACTACAATCTGTCACCTCACCAACGTTCTAAAAATTGTTAAAACAGATGTTGCAAAAAGAGGCAAGGCCTAATCTGGACTCTGTCCAAAATATCTTTGATCACCTTTGAATTCATTGTAAACTCATCTTACTTTACTGAGCTTTCCAATTATGCACTCCCACAGACATGATGGCCTTGGAATTAGGGATATTAAATAGCAGTTAGGAAGCTAATCAAGTATCCGATGGAATTTCCATTGACTATTTGATTAGTCGATATGGGGGTTCACTGTGGCTCTCCTTTTTAGATGTAATAAGAGCCATCAGGCTCCTACTACATTTAAAAAGCAGAGGTGCAGGGTCCGGGACTTGGAGCCAGAGCTGCTCAGTCAGGGCTTACACCATTTTCCCCATGCTGTGCCTCTGTCTTCCCTGCCCCGCACAGAGATGGTGCTGGGGGGAACTGGCTTTTAAGACAGCTCCCACTCCCCCTGCCTTGCTGCCTCTGATACAGAGGCAATTTGTGTGTGTGGGGGGGAGGAGGTATGACTAGTCAAGTGATGACTTGACTAATGAATAAGCCTAGGCTTATTGGGTAGTCAACTAGTTGCTTACATTGCTACTTGGAATATTGCTCAGTAGGACACAAACTTGCTTTCTTTTGCATGAATGTATATCCACCCTATACCAAGTCAATTGTTTATTCCAAAAAACAATCTAGATATGCATTTCTATTTTGGCAAATGACTGTATCATCTAGGAGCCCAAATACAATTTAAGTTTTAACGTTATCCTGATAGGACAATATTTTCCACACCACCACAGTGGATTTCTACTAGCTAGGCTGACTTTCTTTGGAGACTAGGGGGCAAGTTTTCTTCCAGCCCACCAAACTACTGCAGCCACTTTTTTGAGGAAAGTGACAATATGCTTCTTTGAGAGCAATTTAGAGAGTCACGGTTGTGATTTCACAGTTCGGGGTGAAAGAGAATTTCAACGCTATGGATGATTTTTCATGCTCGGCTAACTTTCTTTCCTTACAAAACAACAACACAGAGCACGTCAGTGAGGAACGCGGGTGGCGGAACCTCTTCAAGTGATGGGGGGAGGGAGGGGGAAGAGAGGCTGTTGCTCTGGAGCTTCCTAAACTACCTTCCCCAAGCTCAGCACAGACACGTGCAGCACAAGCGCAAGACGCCCCGTCGCCCCCCAGCAGGGACCAGGGCGCTCCTCGCTTCTGCCCGGGCCCCTCAACCCTTCCCACCCTGTCCCGCACACCTGTGCAGCCCAACTCCGTTGGGGGCGGCAGCCCGGCCCAGGCCAGCCCCCATGCCCGACGACCGACCCCGGCGCAAGGGGAGGGACTCGGCTCCAGCCACCTGCCCTGGGAGCCTAAAGCCCAAAAAAGGGCAGGTTGGTGCCGCCGCCGCCAGGCTCCGCTCTCAAAATACCTACAGCCTCGCTCCACCCACCCCCTCCCGGCCCGGCGCCTCTCGCCGCGGGCCCGGCCCCCCAGACCCTCTCTTC